AAGCTGAGACGTTTGGGATAGGAGACTTTGTTGGTGTTGAAGAAATTACTACTGTCTGTTTACTGAAGGCAAGTTGACACTTCTGACATCTCCGTAACAGGCTATAATGGGAGCTCATGTGAAGAGGCATTTTGAGAACAGGGGGAAGAATGGTTTCCTGACTGCAGAGATGGGAAGCAAGTTCTGGCAATATGAGTTTTATTCTTGGCTTAACTGCTGATTTACTTGAGCAAAAGCTTGAAATCTTTTGACAAACTATTGTCATCTGTCTGTGCCTGTTTGTCCTGTCTTCAAGGTGAGAAAAATGAAATAAAGCTGTTTCCTTTGTAAACAAAGTTGAAATTTCTGAATGAAAAGTGATCTAAAAAAAGCTAAACATTCCGGTTTTCAAGAAAGGAGATCATCCTTACAAAGGCAGGAATTTTCATACTTTTTCATGTTCATTCAGAAACAGTTCTCCTGGCTTCTATTGTTGCATTTGTGATCTTAGAGCACATTTTCCCTTAAATTCTCGTTTAACTAAGTTCCTCTCTGGTATTGACTGATAACGTAACATTGGCAATTATAGCAGCTTATGTTTCCTTAGAAGCTTCATCAAAAGTGAAATTGAAGTAACTTAAATGGGATCAAGCTGATTAATCACCTGAGAATCTGACTGTTTACAACATAATGTGATTCTTTATACTCCTTTCGTTATACTATACATATGTCAGATGCAAGGACTGGAAGAACTCTGTCTTACTGTCAGGACAATTTTTGTCTATTGCTTGGATTGTAACAGGGCCTCTTTCTGCGATTGTTTTGGACTACTGGTGAACAAAGGGGCCTCTCATCCTATATTGAATTCTCGCATTTGATTTCTGGCAAAATAAATTTCCTAAACCTAATATGTGAGCTTGGAAAAGTTTAAAATTAAATACTCCATTGTAGCTGTGTACATAATAGTGATTACACAGCCAGCAATTTTATTTCCCTTACAGTACCAGTGGAAGTATAACAAATGGAGTAAGTAATTATTTATAAACAGAGCAGGATTTTACTGGATGGTTTTTAAAACACAATCTTTGGTATTAGCATATTTATATACAGCTCATACCCAGGGGGACTTTTTGTAAAACAATTGTAAAATAAAAAAAAATATCACTGGCTTACCTTCAGTGTATAGAATAGCATCAGAAATAAAATTTCAGGCTCTTCCTCCCCCCTACTTCTTTCTGTTTCTGATAGAAACTCACAGTAACAGTCCCTGCCATCTGCTACTATATATTTTTCCTGAGTTTTAACATTTTGTTTTTAGAACCTGAAAGATTAGTAGAATGTCAAGTTACCAAGAAAATAATCATAGGCACGACAACTTAAATGTTATCTCCGCTTGTCTGTACAAAAGATGGTTCACAGTAGGGCTGTGCCCTTCTTCTGCAGATAGAGCAGGTGAGCAGATATGCAATTTGTTATCAGCTGATACATTTTCGAACAGCAGTACTAGATTTTAGCAGAACATCTCCTGTTGATTTTAATGGGAATAACATGATGGAAAAAGAAACAATGAGATCTCTTTTGAAGTTCATTCTGTAGAAAATGAAATCCAGATCTCCTTTAGAGGTGTGTGTCATTTGTGATGGAAGGAGATCAGTGAGGAGTGGAAGCAGGGCTTTCCTACTGTGACTGCTGGCCTAGAGGAAATGCAGCCCCTAGGCAGTCCATAGGAGAAGGTGCTAGTTACACCGGTAATACCAACTCCCAGTGAAGAACTAACTAAGCGCTGAATTATATTATTATGGAAATGTCACGAGTTTTTCCTACCCTGCTCCTAGCTGCTGATTGAGAACCTGGAATCATGGCAGTCCTGTCAGCCACGTGGCTATAGCACACCCAGAACTGCAGCAGCAAACTCCTTCTGAAATGCCTTTCTTGAGCATTTCTAGTTTCTCTCTTTCTTTTCTGTTGTTCCATTGACTGGAGATTAGACTGGGACTCAGAAGCTGAGAGGTTGTTGGAAAGGTAAGGGATAAGACCTCCAGCTCAAAAATTGTTTCCACTACTTCGAGTTGAAAGGTTGATTCTCCATGGCAGTAAATGCAATATAAAGAATTTATTTTTAAATGAAACCTTGCTAGAGGCTGCACAGGGTAGTCCTCTACAGAGTTTTCTGTGAGGAGGCAGATAGCTTTAAGGAAATATATTTGATATTAAAATTTTAGAAATACTCATGTTATCAGTCAGAATTGCTCATTTGGAACTTCGCTTTATCCCAAAGCCTGTGTGACTAAACTTCTATCACTGTGAATGTAATGTGTTGTTTTTTTTTTTCCTGAACTCCTTGAAAGTCATACAGTGCAGGAAGATCCAAAGATCTGTCTACCTGCTGGGCTGCTGAAGAACCTACTTCCCTGGCGTGCAAACACCTTTCAGAATGATATTTTGGAAGTTCCTAAATGTCTGTTATGTTCTTCCATTGGGGCCTGTTGAACTCAATTCAGAGAAAAATAGTTCTGCAGCCCATTCATGTCATCTCGCTGTCAAGCTGTACTCAGAATCTCACATTCAAATTTGCATACTGCTAACGTAAGAAGCATGTAGCTGTACTGTTTACCTCCCATGTTTTTAACTGCATGTCTCACTCAAAAGGTAAAATTTTCATGGAATCGATTCTTGGCAGCTCAAGGGTGGCTTTAGTAATATGTTCTGTAGATTTGCTACCTTTCATTAGAATAAGGAGTCTCACCAGTGATCTTCGCCGTCAGCCTGTGCAAAAGTCTTTGTTACGGTGTTGGAAGATTTCTCTCCTTGCTCCACTTCAGAAGTCTTGAGCTGGTTTTCAATTATCTCTCTTCTGTGCTCCATTTTACTCATTCCTTTAGCAAGGCCATTGTTTGCAGGATGTTTTTCAGGCATTCCTTTCTGGTGAAAAATGATCTTTGCCACACAGCTGCTGTTCCTTGGAGCCTTCCTCACTTCTGCTGCTGGAGCTGGACACTGAGGACATGGGAGGGGCAAGCTGATGGGAAACAGTGTGATGCCCTTCCTGACCTGAGCAGATCTCTAGAAATGGGAAGCAGAAATGTGGTAGCTCTTTCAGAGATTTAGTTTTGTGATGGATGTAGATTTAATGAATATGCTTACCCACAGTGCTCTGTTCTGCTGAAATAAATTAAAAAAAAAGCTAGGCAAGCACTAACAATGACTCAGAATTGATAGCACTCATTCTGTCAGCCATGTCAGCAAGATTCAGTTCTGTAGCCCCTCAGGATGAGTACAAAAAGGACTTTCTCCTGTTGCTACTAACTGGCTTCCTCAGGCACCTGCTTCCCAGAGCCAGGCAGAGCCATAGCACTACCTGCTTGCTGAGACCTCAGGCCATCGCCTCACCCTGTGCCTTTCCCAGCTGTGCAGCTGCTATGGAGCTGATGGGCTCTTTGATCAGTAATGAAAAGGATAGCAAGAGGTCTGGAGGGTGCCTGCATTCGTGCTCCTGGCTATTTCCCAGTGGAGGTAGGTGGAAAGGCTCAGCACTGCAGAGGGAGAGCAGAGCAGAAATAGGGTATGTGTGTGGTCATCTCTTGATGGGGATGACTGATGCTGTCTCAGGCTGCTTTTAGTTTGGGTGCAGGAGAGGAGAGTCCCCGTTAATGTCATCTTTTCCTAGGTTTTATCACTGTAATGTTGTAGGTAGGATAGTTCAAGGAAACAAGCTTGACATATGTGGGGTGCCTACTCAACCTTTGTACCTTTAAAAATGTTCCATTATTTTGATGTTTTTGTGATTTTAAATTCTTACCATTTCACAGTGTGCTCAGAGGTACTTAATTTTGACAACTGTAATATTATTAATCAGTTCATTATTAATCAGTTTATTACTACAGTTGTAGTACAATGTGTGCTGCCTTTGAAAACTCATTTCTGATCTTTGACATAGAAATTTCCCTTTCTTTCCAAGGCATTACTACTTAGCAGTCGGCACAAGTACCTATTCCTGTGTGTGTGAGCTGTAGTGGTCCTGCAGCTGTGCTGTGTGCACTCAAATCCTGAAAACTCTTGAGTGCTCTTTAAAAAGCAGCTATCAAATGCTCACCTGAAAGCAGGCAAAGGAATGTGCGTTCTGAGTGTCATTCTAGAGGAGGCTATTTATTCTTAAGTTTTGGTGTTACTTTCTAGATATTTTCTGTTGTTTTGTGTGGTTTTTGTTTTCTATCGGGGAGCTGAGTTTTGTTACATTTGGAGAACTGAAATAGTAAACAACGGCAGAATAGAAGAATTTGGGGAGATAACTCCTTGAAGTAATCTTTAAATCTTGGGACTGACAAATCAGGAAGAGTATACTGAAATCAAACACTGAAGCTGTATCTGATGAGTAACAGCTTTCCCCTTTCTTTCTTCATGCTTTTTTTTTGTTTGTACTCATTTAGTGAAAGTACATTTATGCCAACAGACAGTATCATAACTGTCTGAGAAGTGAGTCAGAATTTGGGGATAGGATTAAGTTCTTTGATGTGGAATAAGTTTAATTTAGCTTCTTTCTGTCTTTCTGGATTTTTTTTTTTTTTTCCTGTGAACGTGAATAAAATGCTGTGTTGACTTGACTTGATCTAGAGAAATGTACCTCTAATAAATGCTGTTCACCCGAGCAATTAGAGCAGTGGTCTGGGACACAAGAGATTGGAATTTCGGCCCTGGCTGTGATTACTCGGTTGTGATTTATCAGGGAAAGTTTTTCTGTGGTATATGCCTTTGTTTCCCAATCTAATTATCCAGGGAGTAAGACAGTATTTAGTAGATAGTCATGTTTATGAGAGAAATGATGCAGTTTGCATGCTGTCTTTAATCTTTTAATGATAATTAAAATATATCATTGTAATCTATAAAGAGCTACTTTTACATAGAGAAAAAAAATGGAAAGATGTATGCCTTTAAAACTATTTATATTGTTATATCTAATTTCTGTACCAAATATCCTACAGTCTACCAAGTTTTCTACAGTTATGTGTTGGTTTATTTTTCAGGCTTTGCTTGACACTCAGAATCTTTTGAGAACTCAGATAACAAATTTTACGTTCAATCTGGGATTTTCAGGGAAATTTTATCACACAGGTAAGAATGGAAAACTAAAATTACTTTCATTTTGGTGGTGTTCTTTGTACTATGATGTTTTTTCTTCCATGTTTCTTTGGGACATAATTTGTGTCACATATCAAATAAATATTTTTCTTCTAAAGTTGTTATGCTGGATTAAGCCTTTGTTAGAGCTGTAGTCGCTGTTCTGTTGACTTTACTAGGCAATCTGTTGAGCAGCCAAAGTTCATCTGTTTGGATAGTTTGACCTCTGCTGTAGAGATACCATAGCAATACATTTTATCCATTAAAATAATTTTATATTTAAACCACTTCTTTGTACTTAACTACAAAGAAGTAAAAGTTAAGGTATTAATTAAGATTTGATATAGAATAAGCAGGTGGTCTCTGCTGACAAATAGAAAAAGGCATACTTGAAAAATAGGACAACATCAGAGCCTGAAAGAGAGTCAGAAGAGAATACAATGCCATGTCATAGTTCAAGGATATTAATATGAAAGTAGAAAAGGTAACATAGGAAACAAACAAAAAAAAGGGTTATTCACAAGTGGAGTTACAAAGAACTTGAGCGGGCTTGATTGCTGTGCGTGTTGAAAAGAAGATGGAAGTGCATAACTCTTATGCTTAGTTGTGTGCCTTGGTCAGAATTACTTGCCATGTTAAGAGGAAGTCTGTTACTTCGAGCTCAAAAGCTGAGCAGAAGCACTGTCCCTCCACAGATTTCTTTTGGGCTAAGCAGAGGTCAGCTATACTTGCAGGGACCTCTGTCTTCCAGGTATAACCTGCACAATTTAAAGAGACTAAAAGTGTCTTAACTTCCTCACATTCAATGCATAACTTTCCCCATCCATTCCCACCCTTTCCTCTTCCTTTCTCTTGTCCAAAATGGCCTGGCAGAAACATCCTGGCTGCTAAGCCTGCCACCTGTCAGTGTCTCAGCAGGCAATGGTACTTTCAAGACTATTTGTTTTGTTTCAATTGACAGCTCAGATACTTTGGAGGGAGCGTGCATGTGGGTTTCGTTGTTTTGGTTGACCAAGATTTGGCAAAGATATTGAAGTTTGTAGTACAAACTGACCCAGTTACCAGCTGTAAGTTCAATGAGTTGAGCCTATCTTTGTTACAGCCCATCTCTTGCTGCGGCTTTCTTCTTTTCCCGAAGAAACTTTTTTTTTTTTTTTCCCTGACATGGCTATTTTACAGTCTAACCACTCCTGTTTCTTTTCTTGGTACCAGGTGAACATGACATAGGGCCAGTTAGGCTCATGTGGAATCAAAAAATCTAATGATCCTACAGGTATTGATACATCATTATGTATGTCTGCCTCTATTTTTCCTTCATTATTTTAGTTTCTTCTGAGGAACTAAACACTGGCAACAGCGAAGGAATGTCTGACAAGGTTCATTGGAGAAAAAAGGAGAAAGCTGATAGGTTTAGTGAGGGTAAGGCCTTTCTGATGGAGAAAACAGAGGCTGAAAGAATGGAAAATAAAGGAGTATTACAAAATATGAGAGAAAAAGGATTTGTAAACTGTGTTGATTTTTTGAAAGGAGTAGGAATAAGTGGCCTAGAAGCAGACAGACACACAGTGAAGATTGTTAAGTTGTAGTTTTTCAAAGTTCGGCTCATACAGTCTTTATAAGGCAACCCATTAAGGAATTATTTGAATGCTACGGTCTTTGACAGGACTAGCCCATCAATAAAAGTGCACTGGGACTAGAACTAAGTATCTGGGCTCAGGAATTGGGGGTGCATCTGTCCTGCTCTGTCAGCTCATTAGGCCCTGGTATTTCCCATCCCTGAAGTGCTGTCAGAGACACAGGCTAAGTCTCTGCTAGGAAATTATTTAGAGCTGAAAAGCAGGCATGTTGCTGAAGGCAGTGGTCATTGCTGTTGAATTGAGGGAAAAATCTCCGAAGTGCTCTTGGTCCAGGCCAGCCCCACACTCCTGTGTGCACTCTAGCAGGGAGTAGAGAAAGGACCTGTTCCCAGCAGGTTGCTGGGATGCAGCTGCTTCTCTTGCTGACTGGAATTTATGAGCATCAAATTGGCCAGCTGGCTCAGGGTCAGGCCTGTCACCATCTTATTTACTGATGTAGTTGTAGCATGAGAGGTCTTGGAGAGCAATGCAGCTAAATGCTGCTGCCCAGACGATTCCTATTAATCAACATAGAGATTAGAAATTGCTGCAGGGTCTGTTCCAGGGAGCCACATCATTAGGAACAGATGAGGAGAGCACCTGAAAAGGCAGATCCAGGGACTGAGAAGTAGCTCAGTGAGCACCAGCCGCCTTTTGGGTACCTTTGAAGATGCAGGTTTCTGGGAGCTTCTGAATAGGTTGTAACTGGAATGCCAAGAATTAGAAGGAAGATAAAACAATTGTGTTATGCAAAATGTTTTCAAAAGGCTGCTGGAAACATACCATAGGTAACAAAGGGAAAAGGAGTTTGATTGGAGAATAAATTTAATTTGGATAAGGAATACTAATAAAGAGTTGCAATTTTTTCGTTTATCCTAAACAGTATTGTATGCAGTTTCTCGACTTCTGTCCCTTAGCTTCTAATGTTATTGATAGAGCACATGAATAAGAGGACAGTACTATACATTCAAAATGCTATGAAAAGATTGGATCATCCAATCTTTTACCTGGCTATGGTTACTTCCAGGAGAGGAATGTGTACTTGGAAACATTTAAAATCCTTAGTACTTTGAAAAGTCAAATTTTGTTTTGGTAATTTCCATCTTACATCTTCAAACACTTGTTTGATCATAGTGTATACTCAAGGATTTTTTTTTTCAGGCACTGAGGAGGAAGATGAAGGTGATGACCTGCTGTTGAGATCTGTGGATGAGTTTTGGTGGTTTCCCCATATGTGGAGTCACATGCAGCCTCATCTCTTTCACAATGAGTCATCACTGGTGGAGCAGATGATCCTCAACAAAAAATTTGCCTTAGTAAGTAATATTTTTGCTTTTTATATTGAGTTTAGGTATTCAGAAACCATTATTTCTGTTTTTTTAGGAAAATCAGTGCTGGCAGGAGCTGGAGAACTCTTAGCACATCTATGAACTTGCTCTGTCCATGTTTTAACTACCTGAGTGCACAGATTATCAATCACTCCCACCGTGCCCTGACTAATGCATTTTAAGAGGAGCAGGACAGAATATGTAAAATTTGGAAACATTCTAGTATGTTTTAGCAACGGTGCTGTGTAAACAACTAACAGATGGCTGGAAGACAAAAGCAGAGCATGGCATAATGCCTGTGCTTGAGATCTGCTGCCATAAATGCTTTTCAGCTGTTTTCAGTGGTCTCTTAGACTGGAAAACTTCAATGGAAATTTTACTATTTAGGTGTTTAGCATAGATTATAGGATTTGAGGGCTGATAGCAGTGGGAGGCTGTTGGACTGGCTGAATGCAAAGACATAAAGAAGCGTTATGTCCGAATACCTCTGAAAACACAACTTGTTTGTTGAAACATTTCTATTCTTGCAATGGCCTAATTTTACTTCTCCCTGCTCAAAACAGTGAGTGAAGGTGAAAGGCATAGATGTATCAAGCAATTAAAACTTGTGCTTAAAAATTTTGCTGTAAGAAATACGTGTGCTTTCTTCCTACCAAAAACTTTATCAAGCCTACTGCAATTTGTAGTTATACTCAGTACAGGCCAGCTTGGTTTTACTGTTTCCTTTAAGGAAAGCTTTTCAATGAAAGATAGGACTATGAAAATTTAAACACTCTGTGTTTTTTCTTGAACTTCTTTTCTTTTTTTTTTTTTTCCTTATGATTCTTTTGAAAGGTCCGCTCAAAATTAAATTAGTTCTTGTAGTTCCTGTGTGCTGGAAAAGGACTTAAGACGTCTCCTGGGCTTAGCCTACATGATGTAATTATTAAAGTGTTTTACTAGAAAGCACTTCATCAATTCCTATTTTCTTCTCTACTTTCAGTACTCTTAATACTTAGATATATTTTATATTAAACTTCTTTCATGTCTGAAGCTTTGTATAGTAGCCTGCTACTTGTTTCATTCGCTTAAAGTATTGAGATTAATAGCAAAGATCAGTAGTCTCCTTATTTGAAAGAGGCTGAAAATGCTGATGCCTTATCAAAATAAATGTTCATAGTGTGTGTGAAATACTTAACGTTGGAATTAGTGACTGAAATCAGTGAGAAACTACTACATTGAATATGATAGGTTTCATAATTAGAATAAAAGATATTGGCTGCATATTTATTTCTGCATATTGTAAAACTTGAAAAAGAAATCTTAAAATCCAGACATCTATTTAGAGCTAAATGAGGAAGATTAAATGAGACATTAGAGGATACAATTTCTTACATGTTCTGTAAAGATTATTCTTTCTGATGTTTATGCATGCTTAAGTGAAGTAGAGAAGATTAAGATAAAAAGAAGAGAAATTGAAATATCTGTGATGAAATTAAATAGTGTAAAGCTGAGTAACAGGTCGTGTCACCACTCCCAAGCACTAAAAACCAAGGCCAGATCTTATTCTTCCCTACCGTGGTACATTATTATTCATACTGCACTCCTGCTGCAGAGCCACAGATTACATGCACAGTGGATGTGGTATGATTAGTGAAGTGGTGCCTTGGTCTTACTGAGGAGCACTGAGACCTTACCAGAATTCCAAAAGTTACACCAACCTCAGGGTGATAAATCTTATGTCCCATTTTGTGTTCCTAGTGTGCCATAAATGGTCACAGGGAAATAATAATTACAACTGCATTTTAAATATTAAAAAATTAGGGTTCTCCAATGAGATAAAACTATATCTGTCTGTTAAACACACCATTATGCTGTGAGAAAACAATAGCTTTCTTCCCATGAATATTTAACATTTTTCTTCTTGTTTCTCATGTTCTTCTGGAACAGGAAAAAATGCTGTTCTTTGTGAATTAGCTTTTGAGCTGTTAATAAAGCTATCATGTCTTACTTAGATACATATAATATTGAATCTTGACTATTTAAACTTAGCACAAATAATAAACATTAAGAATGTGTAGGTGCATCTTCATTTGTGCGTAAACATACACCCACCTATGGGTACAAAACCTCATGCTTTTCACTCTCTATGCACCTAATAGTATTTGTGACTCAAGGACGATTTACCCATTTAAGTAGAGGAACTTCTAAGGAAAAGGATATCTGCAATGAAGGCTACAGTAAAATTCAAGAGATTCACTGTTCTGGAAAGCAAAGCACACAGAAATAAGAGGAAAATCTCTTACAGCATTTGGGAAGGAAGGGGTGTATTTGTATTTTCAGTGTCAAACACTTCCATGCAGCACTATTGATTTCTACTATGTGACAGGAAACACAGAGGATCCAGTAGATGTGATTTAAAAAATATCATAGCTTCTGTGTAAAATTCTTGGGTATTTTAAATTACAGTATCTGTTTGTACCTTGTTATTTTGACAGCAGTGAAACATGTAACATTTTTTATATATTACATCTATTGCTGTAATGTGGTCTTCCATGTAATGAGTAATTTATACATCACTTGGTTTATGTACCAAATATTTGTGAACGTGTGATAGTGGAAACAAATGAAGCTGTGCAGATTCAGAACTTAAGGTAGTACAGGAACTTTTCAACGTAGGCAGAAGAATGTTTCTTTTAGGATTTCTTTCATTGCTATATTGTGTAGGGTCTGTTCAGCATCTTCGTAGTGTATCATGAGCACTTCCTGCAGAACACACTTCCTGCTCAGGCTTTTCTTTCTTGTCAGAAAGGCTTCTTTCATGTCTACCTAATCTCCTTTCATTTTAAATCCCTTATGTAAAAACTGGGACAATTCCCATATTTTTCAGCATAACACTTTTTAAAATGTGTACCCTGTTTTTCTTGTCTTTGCTCTCCTGTCCATCCAGTACATCAGCTTTCACACAGTAGCTCTCCAGAAAAGATGAAGAAAAATTATTTTTCTTAGGTCATGAGCCCATTTTTCTTTGAGTTAAGACTTAAAACTTTTTTGTATTCTTTAGTAATTGTCAATGAAAGGAACTCAAGTATTACCTACCTCTTATCTTTTCATATGGAGAGTAATTGGGAAAATATGGTGAAGATGATGGTACAAATAATATATTTAAAAAAAAAAACAAAAACACAACTCTTAAACAGTGCAGAGGTTTTGTTTGCAAGGGCAGTTTTTCAAAATATTGCAACACAACAACATTGTATGGATAAGCAGAAATATGTGCTTGTGTGCTCTTCTTTTGAAAGGAAATGAAAAAGTGTCAAAATCCATTAGAGTACATTGGAAATCAGAAACTGGAAAGAAAATACAGTGAATCTCATGAGAAAGTAATACTAGCACGGTCAGTTAAATGAAAGAAGTCTGCAAAAATGACAGGTTTACTAAAAAAGGGGTTATTCTAGAACACCTGCTTATTATCTTTGGTTTTACACATCACAGTTTTTTTTCTGTATTTAAATGACACTAAAATGGCTGTTTTTTGAATATGATTTTATGTTGCTAGCAGACTAGAGGATGATCTTTTTGAAATTCAACTAAGTAATTGTGTAGGGACATACAGTGGAAATCACTTTTTTTAAAATTTTAAGTGCCAAATGCCATTTTGTTGTGTATGTGCCAGTACTTTTCTCTCTCGATACTTAGTTTGTGAGCAAATTCCTTGTAAGAACTTGAAAGAGTGCAGAAGCGTTTAAAGCACTGATTAAAGAAATCAGCATAAAATGTGTTTATATCCATACTTACAAAAATACTTACTCAAATCTTAAGTTTCAAAATCCTGTGTTTCATCTTTACCATGCTGCCTTCCATCACTGTTATAAACCAAAACATACTGTAATGTCACCATCATTTATATTTCAGACCTATTCTCAATCTCTCACAAAGGATTAGCCAAAATACTGTTTCTTAATTTTTTGAAAGCAGTTGTTCTGTTGTGTTTTAGGAACATGGTATTCCAACTGATATGGGCTATGCAGTGGCTCCTCACCATTCTGGAGTATATCCAGTGCATGTTCAACTTTATGATGCCTGGAAAAAGGTCTGGAATATCAGAGTTACTAGCACAGAAGAATACCCACATCTGAAGCCTGCGAGGTATAGACGAGGTTTCATCCACAAAAATATAATGGTGAGTTGTATTTCTGATCATATTACCACCACTCCTAAAATCCTAGAATGGTTTGGGTTGGAAGGGACACTTAAGATCATCTAGTTCCAACCCCCTTGATTTAAGCAGGGACACCTCCCACTAGACCGGGTTGCTCAAAGCTCTTTGTAGCCTGGTGTTGAACGCCTTCAGGATGGGGACATCCACAGCCTCTCTGGGCAACCTGTTCTAGTGTCTCATCACCCTCGACAATAAACAATTTCTTCCTGATATCTAGGCTAAATTTACTCTTTTCCAGTTTAAAGCTATTTCCCCTCGTCATACATACCCTTATGAAAAGTCCCCCATCAGCTTTCCTATAGGCTCCCATTCAGGTACTGGAAGGCCACTGTAAGGTTCCCCCAGTACCTTCTCTTCTCCAGGCTAAACAAACCCAGCTTCCCTCAGCCTGTTTCCACAGGGGAGGTGCTCCAGCTCTCTGGTCATCTTTGTGGCCCTCTTCTGGACCCTCTCCAATGGCTTGATGTCCCTCTTGTGTTGGAGGCCCCAAATCTGGACGAGGTACTCCAGGTGGGCTCTCACAATAGCAGAGCACAGGAGCAGAATCACCTCCCTTAACCTGCTGGTCACACTTCTCTGCATCAGCAACCGAGGATACAGTTGACCTTCCAGGCTGCAGGGGCACCCTGCTGTCTCATATTGAGTCTTTCATCAACGGGCACTCCCAAATCCATCTCCTCAGGGCTGCTCCCACACAGCCTCTGCCCAGTGTATATTTGTGCTTGGGATTGCCCTGACTCAGGTGCAAGACCTTGCCCTTGCACTTGCATTTTACAAATTCTTTATTTCTAAGTAGAAAAAACCTACCCTGAAAGGTCACATTGTAAGAAACGCATATTGTTTTGCATAAATAGCAAGTTATGTTTGACAGTATCTTGTTAATTAAAATCAGTCTTTTGCTGATGATGTTACTGCTAAAGAAGGTGGTCTCCAGGACCCTGCTGTTAACAGTTAACAGACTCTTAGCTGTTCTGTTTCTACTGTTAAATACTGTTTCAGAGGTCTCAAGAACATAGTCAACTTTGCATGTTTTAACAGAATGAGTTAGATTTTAGCAGGTTTTAAATTTACACACTACCATTAACTGCAGAAGAACTGTTTATTACATCTGAGAATTGGATCTTTATGCATAAATACTTTTTCTTTCATTTGAACTATGCACAGTTGACCTTATTTTGCTTTTTACCATACAGAAACGTGAATTGTGCTTTGCACTTTTACTTAACCCCCAGCTAGGCTTTGGGCCCAGGTGGTCAGTCTGAATGCAGGGCAAGCACCTACAAGGTGAAGGGAAGGAAGCCGCCCCCTCAGGCTATGAAACCGCACAATTGATGCAGCTACAAATCAAATCACACAAGTTTTCTGTATTACATAATTCACAGTGTAGTTTACTGACAGCAGTATTTGCCTAAAGTGTTGTGAATACCGACATGGAAAGCATTATCCTAATACCTTTGGGTCACTGAGACACAAGCTATTTCTGATTCAGATAACATCACTATCTGCAGACTTTCAAAACAACTTTCAGAAATGCTTGATGATGTTGCTTTCTTTTGGAGCATGGAGGAAGTCGGTGAACAGGAAAGATACTGGTGTTTGTACCTCTGGATACAGCCACAGTTTTGGAGGGTCTGTTGCTGAGCTTCTCACTTAATTCTGATATTGTCCTCCATTTACCATGGATACCACTTTTCTAAGTGGAATAATAATATGTCAAAGTTTTGATCTCCTGCTCTATTTTGGGATGGATTAAGATGAAATGATCTGCAGATATCCAGGAAGAAACTGACACCATACAAATTTGAGCTAAAGTTTATTCTTCTTAAAGCATTAGTGGTGTGTGGGGGAAAAAAAAGAAAAGTGTTTGTGGTTATGCTCAGAGGGCACAGAGTGCTTGAGTAAAACTGACTGACTGAGAATCTCCAGAAATCTCTTTCATAAATTTTTGTTGAAGCATAGCATTTGAAGATACACAGTGACATGATTTAGCACAAAGAAAAAGGACAGTGGGGCCAAACACAATTTGCTGAGAACAATTGTGTAAAACCACCTGTTTAGGAGCCTCAAACTTTCAGTTCTCCAGGGCAAACGCATTAATAGTTTACATGTGTGGGTTATAGTGATGAATATATACAGTAATAGTCATTGTGTAAGACTTGCCAGAGCATTTCCCATCCAGTACATCTTCATTCACTGTCTCTATGAAGAATTGTTCTCATATTTCATCAGTGAAATCCAAAGTTTTTAAAAAAGCATATGCAATTTTAGAGCAAGAACACAAATTCCATACATTGTATGGCAACACAGAATTTACAAACCATGATCACAGCATTCTGCATAATACGGAAAGTTGCCGAGAAATGTAGATGCAAAAGAAAGAGTATCTACAAAACCACAGTACCTGTCAAGTAAGAGATTTGCACATTTTATAAGTTTTAACTATTATATAATAAAAGTTCTAAACTGGACTAAAAGATTTGATGATAGTCTCAGTTTAAGAATACATGACCACCAATCTTCAGCCATTGAATTTCCATAAAAAATAAATGTAATTGAAATATTCCCCAGCAAATTATTTTCTTAGGTTGAGAGAAAATATTTTGAGATTCTACTGGGAATTATAAGTGCACTTATTAGATTTGCTTATTCAAAAGATTTGTTCTGTGCATGCCTTTAAAAATACATGCTTTTGTTTCTGCTACTTCTTGTTGCAACTGGTCTTATAAAACCAGCACAGCTGAGTGAGAAGAAACTACTTCTGGTAATGTGAATAAAATCTATAAAACAAAGAAAGAAAAAAGAAATCAGTAAGATTTATCACATCAGCATAGAATTACTATTGTTGGTGGTACCTAAGCCAAAAAAATGATTTCAAATTGTAGTTTAAACATATAGCAAAACTGTCTTTTAAATAAAAGATGGAACTGAGAAATACAAATAGATTGAATTATTTCAGATTACATTTCAAATTATTTTAGAATTTTAGAAATCTTTGATGTTCAGACTTCAAACACATTATTAAGACTGGGGAATATGGACACAGTTAGTATGAGGAAGCTGCTTAGTTGTGACATACCTACTGAGATCAATCTCCAGTTTCAGAGAAAACGTGACGAATTTTTGGATGTTATAAATCATAATAAAACCACTGTTTCTTTCTGTAAACTCTATTCATCTGTCAGTGTATTGATTCAACTAAATCATTGTTGACTTTGGCAACATTGCAATGCCAAAACTACAAAGTAGTTATCACAAAGAAACATCATCAGTTGTGTTACATGTCTGCCTTTTATTATCTCATGAAATGTATGAACGGTTTTGGTTTGTGAATTTCTCTTGAATCTTTTGTTGCTTTTTTTAAATTAAATTCAGGTGCTTCCTAGGCAAACTTGTGGCTTATTCACCCACACTATTTTCTATAAAGAGTATCCTGGAGGCCCAAAGGAACTAGACAAAAGTATCCAAGGTGGAGAGTTGTTCTTCACAGTGGTTCTCAATCCAGTGAGTACAATGTCATTTTGAAACTATTTAAAAAGAATTAGTTAAAGGAGAATTGAGTAAGTGCTTCAAGGCTCATTGGAGCTGATGTCCATATCTTAATGATTTCTCACAGAGTTAACTCTTGTGCCTTTTCAATTAATAAATTTAAATATAATCTTATGTATGTTCTGTAAGTCGTACAAAATTAACCTAAACGTTTTTGAATGCTGTTTTGTTAGTAATGTAGTAGTAGAAACATTTCTTGTTCTGTTTTACTTCTGCATGAAATAAGAGCTATGAAATTTCATTTTTAAGAGAAATGAAGTATTAAGAACTGTTATTACTATGAGACAAGTGCCTCAGGTGAAATCCATTATCCTGCTCTTCAGAACTCACAGAATGGTGAGAACACCCATTGGTTTGAGAAAGTTGCAAGCAAGAAGTGCTGGCACTTGAACCTGTTATGAGAATGTTCAGTTGCTGTTCTACAAAAGCTTCAAGGAAAAGATCGAAATAAGTGAACCACTGAATTAATGTATCTGTTTAATGTTTCATTTTTGTTTAATAGAATAAAGAACAAACTAGGCTATGAAACTACTGAATATCAGCAGAATAGAGCAGTACAATACTTCAAAATGGCACCAGATTAGGCCAGTTGCATTAAACCTGACCTCTTAGACAAGGTTTTATGTTCACTTTTCATCCAAAGTTAAATTGAACTGAAATTTAAAAGGAATGATGACAGATGCTGTTTTGTTGGAGAATCATATAAATAAAGTTTACTGCTTTATCCAGATTTAATCCCTAGGACTGGGTTTTCCAGAACACTCAAAGCTGAACAGAGCATATTTCAGCTCAAATCCTCTGGAATAATAGCTGAGATACTTTTGTGCCTTTTTTAATTCTCTGTGATTTAATGAAAGTCCAGTGGAAAAACAAAAAAAAAAAAAGAAGAAAAAAAAAAAACAACAAGAAACTTCTGCCAACTACTTTAGCAATTTATATGCAGGTCTGTTTTTCAAACCTCAGACTTGTCAAGGCTGTTATTTTGATTCTCTGAAAGTAGTTACTGTGTTTTGTTCTCCTTTATTTTTTATGTTCATGTAGCAAATGTAGGGAAGAAAAGCTTCACTTCCTCTGCACACTGGTCTGCCTACTAGAGGATGGTGGTATGTCCCAGTCCTAAATTTAATATTAATCATGTCAGACAAGGCACATTAAGAGAGGTGAGCCCTGGAAAATTCTTAAGAGGGGAGGGTATTGGTGCCATAGCAATGCTTGGGAATTTGTGTAGATCCTAAGTAAGAGTTTCTAGCTCAACAAAGAGACTTCGAGGAAACCATATTGTAACAACACTTTGAATCAGAAGAAACTGTATTCCATGTTGGAAATACAGCCACAACTTAGCCAAAACCTTTTTTACAACAGCAATGAAACAGCAAAACTTAATGTGGTTGCTTGAAGCATAACCCTTTCAAATTGAAGGAACAGAGAATGGAGGAAAGGCAAACAGTAGAACAGCTAATGGTTATTGATATAAATCAAACACATTTTAGCATCCTGCCTTATATACTTAATGTGAGTACAGAAATGTGTTTTTAGATAGTGCTTCGTGATCTCTGATTTATGCGTTGCTATGTGGACTATACAATCACACAATTCTGAGAAATAAGACATCCCCAGTACAATGCAGGCTAACTGAAGGGAAATTATTTTTTCTAAACCCATTTGTAAGTGAATTTCATACCAAAATATGCTGAATATGAATTGTTGTAATCTTTTAAAGGAGTGCCTTTGAAAAGATGATGTGATGGGGTTTATATGTGTATATATATATGTATATGTATATATGCATATGACCAGTTTGTGAAGTTGTAAGCATTAGTCTGGCAGGTAAGAAATTTGAAGATCTGGTTTTGCATCTTTGGTTGTTTTTTGTTTTATTTGTGGGACTTCTCTTTGTACCACTTTGTATTTGTACCCCTACTCACATGTCAAGGTTTTATACATTTGTCATATTATAAAGTGGCAGATAGAATTTCATAAGTTTCATTAAAACTGTCAGGATTGCTCTCTGAAGAAATTAACATGAAACATCCAGTCTTTCGGAGGATGCAAAAATTCTATTAGAAGATGTTTTCTAAACATTTTCTGTCACTGGTGAAAAACCTATTAAGAAGGAACATTAACCAGAAATCATTACAGTGTCATCTCAAGAGTAAATAAATATTTCATTTGAAAAAAATGACAAATGTGGGTGTCAGTTAAATGTAAATCATAACAGAGACCTTCATTACATTTCCTGGTTTATTTTGGATTATTTATCTAAAGTAAATATCATTTCTGAAGTATAGATTATTAGAATGTTACTTTAGGAATTGAATACTACTCTATATTGATATAAGTACCCCTAAGAATAATACTCAAATTTTCTGTGCAGTCTGGTGGTGTAATGGCAGCTATTCACATGTGAGGCCCTGCTTCCTTATAGTACACTGGAATTGATCACGAACTGGAGAATAAGCAAAAAAAAAGCACCAAACCATATGTGAATCTGTGAGCTTTTTAATAGGAGAACCAGTATTGTTGTCATTTTTCCAGGGCATTCTATAGTCAGAGGTCTTGCAGGTAAGAAAAGCATCAGGCTGCAGAGGAAATCCTGCTCTGCAAATGACCTCTGCTGGTAATGTGGAAAATAAGAATTGGTATCTTATCTAATAAGAATTTGTAGCTAATCTTGTGGTCTACAAGCCATATTTATTTGGTATGTATTTATGAGCCCTCACTGCTCGTTAAATTGTGATCTGGTAGTGGCTGTAAAATGATCTCGATGTCTATTCCCATTGTGTTCATAAAGCATTCAGAATGCTGAAGTGCCATGAAGCTAAAAAAAAAAAAAAAAAAAAAAAAGAGCCTGAATAGTACTAAGCCATGTTATCTACTTCTTGAATAATATTTAATATTCATTTCTTCTGTTAAAAATCTTGTTGACTACAGTGGCCCTTAGACAAGATCATACTATATCAGGATCTTGCACAAAATTTTTTACACGCACACAAGAAAAAAGCCTTCCACAGCCCTGTATTGTTAGTATACAGGTATTAATTGCCCTATGTTATCAGTTAGATAATTGCTTACAGGGGGATTGTGTGACTTGCACAAATTTATCGAGGGAGTTCTGTGACAAAGCTACAAGGAAAACCCGGATTGCATTTTTAGAGGAGTGGATGCACATAAGAACACAAGCTTGTTTTTTCTTCAGCTTCCCAGTGTTTTAGTAAACTTTCTTATTGTAAAGAACCTGGATGTCAGTAGAGACAGCTGGCAAAGGGGTGTAACTGCTTCTAAGTGGAAGAAACTATATTAAGAAAGTTAAAAGAAAATATGATCCTATCAATTAAAAGGAGACTGAATTAAGTATATCTGCATTTAGCTTCATTTTGAAATGTTTAAACAATAGCAGGCTTCTGGCTTTGCTGTGCTTAACTGCATATCCCAGAGTAAGTGAAGCCTACTGCTAGTTTTGTGAAATATGACATCCCCTTTTTAAAAAATATATATTTCTTTCTCAGTTTATTTCTTTTGCATTAGCTGTGCCAGAATCATTACCAAATAAATCCCAACTGACTTTTGTAACACTTAAATTAGCATATTTAAATAAATGAAGAATCTCTACTGACATTAAAACATTCAGCAAGCATTTTGCTTGATAAAGTTGTTAGAATTTTCAGTGTCTTCAGATTCTGTCTGCAATATTCAGTGAAGTTTTAGTTAATAAAACCAATTTCCATTAAAGGTCCTTTAGAATTAAAATGTACCAGACAGGAATCTGCTAAAGACAGCACTGCATATTCCAGCGTTTTCTCTAATGATGTACACGTACTCCCACGGGATCAGCAATTAGAGATTAGCTATGAGAGCAGCTCCTGTCAGATCAACACTTGACAGTTGCAGAATGTTGAAAGAAGTAAAGGGCCACTCACCTATACCTGCAGTGGCTGCAGGAGGCTACAGAGAAACAAACAAATTGAACAGCTCTTGTTCTCCTAAATGCTGCATGGCCAGCAACCTCAATTGACATGTGAATGGTGGTTTACTTTACTCTGTCCCACATAGACAACAGGAGAATGAGTTCACTGTTCTCTGAAATAACTTGCTTGTTGTTAACAGTGAGTTTATATATTCTGTGGAACATATACTAATTGATCATCATAGCATTTCCTTCCAATTACCATTTTTATTAGTGAGATAGGTATACCCGTGTTCCTTGTTCCTCAAGGCACTAACAAGCTGTGGAAGGGATATGGGAGAAAATAATACAGACATATATATTAGGACATTATAGAAATCCAAGTTCATCAAGAACCCTCTGCAGACTCAATCTTATGTGCAAAACTGGAAGCAGTTGACTGAAGAAGACTACAAAGAACTAAGAAAAACTCCACTTTGAAGGGAATTCAAAATGATAAGTATTTATTATATTTGAAAAGACATTTAAAAAAAAAAAACAACTGAAATTTCATGGAGAACTTAGGCAGTGAACTGTCTTCAGATGTCCTGAATCAGAAAACCAGCCAATTAAATGAGGGTGAGAATTTACATGAGAATTGTATCAGGATCTTTCTCCATAAGAATGTTGTTTACATTAAGAACCAAAATTTGAACTATAGAATTGAATTTGGTTGGATATTTGTTACTGCAGTAGTTGATTAGGCATGGATTCCGTGTAAATGTTCGTGCTTTATGTTGCCCTTAAGTACAGGGAGGACTTTCATAGAGGATTATATTTCACATGTCTCTCTGCTGTAGAATGTGCAGTACTTTCCTCATACATATCTGCTGCCATCTGCTTCTGTAGGCATTGTTCAACATAAGACAGGCCAGATGCAGGGCAAGCTTACTAGTTTCATTGCTTGGTTGTTTTTTTTTGTTAGGTTTGTTTTGTTGTTGTTTTTTCAGCTTTTTGTTTTTCTAAGTGCAAAATTTCAATAATGAAAAGAAAATTTATGAAGCAGACTGAC